GGCGGGCGCGACAAGGGGCGGGATTAGCGAAAGGGGTTGGTGCGGCCGGGCGTGGGGAGGCTCACTGCCCCAGCCGGTTTAGCTCCCCGCCCCGGCCCCGACGGCCGTACCTCTCCGATGCAGAGCCCCATGACTTCCTCCTTCTCGGTGCTCAGCGCGTGGTTCAAGCACACCAGGAAGGCGTCCGCCTCCAAGTGCGCCGCCTGCACCGCCATCCCGGGTGGCTTCGGTCCTCCCACCGACCGCCCGGCACGAGAAGCGAACGGGCGACAAGTCCGCGCATCGGCCTTCCCCGGCGCGGCGCCCCGCCCGGGACCAGCAGTCCTCCTGCCTAGGCCTGCGTTTCCCGGACAACGCCGACTTCCGGTCCGACTCCACGGAAGTGCCCGGCCGGGCCTCGACTGAAGCGTTCCTGGGTTCCGCCGGCGCCACTGTACCAGGTCGGTTCCGGCCGGGGGCGGGGGAGTTGGGCAGCGCGACCTGTGTACGTCCGGCCGTGGGGCGAGGGAGATGTGTCCGTGGCCGAGGGGGCAGAGGGGCGTCCGCTGGGCCGCCCGACGTGCTTTGGTTACCCTTCAGCCTGGGGAGGGTGTGTGTGTGTGGCTGACGAAGGGGAAAGCGGGCCGGTCTGCCTGGAAAGGAAGGCAGTTGGTTCAGCCCCTACGTGGGAAAGAGGGCTGGTCTGTGCGTCGCCATGGCGACGCCCCCGGGATGTACTTGGGGGGCAGCGGAAAGGACGAAGGCCCTGGGCTGAGAGAAGCTCTCCAAGGCTACAGTGGCAGGCGGCAGTTCAACAGGCAGAGCCCCTTCTCTGATAGGGGAGGTCGAACCTGTTGAGTTTCTGCCTGACGGGCTAATCAAGTCCAGGCCCTTTTTTTTTTTTAGAGGGGAAGAGCTCCGATGAATTTAGTCAGGGGCTGGGAGCCAGGATCTGGAGAAAGAGGCGAGGGGGACTAAGGGAGGACCCCCATGGTTGTGTTCACATGGCACACGGAATCTGATTAGTAGAGGAACCTGCTCTCTAGGTTGGCAGCATTCTGTACGTTCAACTTGAACCTAACCAAAGTGCCTGGGTTTGGTCAGTAGGTTAAGTCACACACAAAAGAAACCCAACCAGTGTTAATACTAACCAACGTTGGGGGATAGAATCGCTGGGCCTTTAACTAGCTGGATGTACGTGTGTTATGTGAACACCACTGTCTCTAGACTGCTGCTGGACCAGCTAGGTCTGCCATCCCCTTTCCTCTTTATCTGTGTATGATAAACAGGAAACCAAGCCCAGCAGGTGTAGTTTCATCTTAAGATGAAGATACGGTGACGGGAAAGGTTTTGTCTCTTGGGTTTCTGTTGAAATGTGGGAATGTGTGGAACCTCGTTCCCTCTGGCTTCCAAAATCCGAAGGGAATTGCAATCGCTGGTTGCATCCATAGCTCAGAGGCACAAAGTGATCTTTTTTCTTGTCCAAAACTCAAGGAACTCAGGACAAGGAATAGCAGCTCTGGAATGTTGCACTTTTTTCTGGCCTGATACCAACTTTGCAGAATTGCAAAAAAGAGAGAGGGCTGCAAAAAGAAAACCCATGGTTCTGATTTGACTTATAAAATGTAATAGCACAGGAGCTACAGACTCCACCTTTTGGTGCAGTTTGGAGTTGTTGACTTCTTCCACTGCCTCAGATCTCTGCCTTGTTCTTTTTCTTGTAAAGATATCTTCTATTTGTAATTTTCATTTTTTTTTTTCCAATTCTCACTGATGGCAAGAAAAAGTAGTAAATACTCTCAGGACCAGAGAAACGGTTAGGAGGCTGCAAGAATCTTGGCATTCTAAAGCTGAACTTTAGAACAGCTACTTGGAAACAGACATCATGCTCACAGGAGGCTTGCTAAGCCTGTAGAGTGGTGGCTCTGGGTTACGCATGTTGCAGCCATGATGTATGACTTAATCATGCTGCTTATGACAGATCCGCCTTTTGATTCAGTTCTGCTACCATCTCTGTGCTCAGCCTTCTTGTGTTCCATGTCAAGCCAGATTCAGCAGTTAAGAAGAAAAAAGCTGGGGGAAAATGAACTGCTGTCTCCAGATCTGGAGGTGGTAGGCAGTATTACAGAACAATTCATCAGGTTGGAATAGCACAGCTACTCCGCTGGTCATATTTTCCTACTGCTCCTTTGCTGTGCACAAATAGGAAACCTATTAGGCTTCAGCGAATGTTCTTTGTTTTCTAAGCAAATTGCTTGCGTCAGAATTAATGGTATTAATAGAACACGAGGGGGATGTTGCAGCGATACAGGGATAGTGCTCTTGATTCTTACTGTGTGGATAGGAGACTTCTTGAAAGAACCCAGGTGCAGCTTGGGATAGGTTTAAAAAAAAAAGCATAGGCAAACTTCTCCCCTCTGAGTCACCCTCAAATGTAGCTCCATGGTGAGAGGTGCCCTTTGTCATTAGGGCACCGAGTGCTGCCAAAATACATGCATGGGTCCTTTTTCTTCTAAGTAACTGCTGGCTTTTTGAATTTGCAGAAATACGTTGACTCTGCTGGTATCTGAGTGCAGGCCAGCCTTGCTGAAGAGGTGTGTGTGTGTGTGTGTGTGTGTGTGTGTGAGTATGTGAGAAATGGGGGCATCTTATATGGAGTACACCTTTCTTTGGGGAAATTTCTTGTGTAGTGTGGATTTGCTCTTAGGCTGTGTAATTTGAACGGCTCTTGATCCATTTGGCATGTTTAGTCATTTGATCCCAAGAGGTTCTGGAGGAATGCTGAGGCCCAGAAGAGCACCTTGTACCTTGGCCTGCTCTGTATTCCTTGGCAGTGATCAAATGCAAAGTATTTTTTCAGAAGTTTGCCACCAAAGTGGTTAACCACAGGGCCTTCTTTTCTGTTGCTGCACAAAATCTTTTGATGTGTGTTTCTTCCCTCTAGCAGGTTAGAACACCCCTGTTTTTAGCTGTTCAGTCCAACAATAGTGTGTTAGATTAAAAAGTACTTTAGAAATAAATATATATTCCTTTAATAACTTTTCTTACCCCTATGCTTACACTACTGAAATTTTTTTCCTGATCTGTCCTGTATATGAAACCAGAATGCTAAAAAGAATTTCATTTAAAGTACAATTTGCTTTTCTGCATCTTGGTTTTTTTAAATTTGCCAAAAAGAGGGGCTAAGTTCAAAAGTTTGTCCTTATACTGAAAGAGCTATGGGACATCCATGTGACTAATGCAATTAGGATCCTAAATAAACTTCATTTTGCTGAGCTTTGCCAACTCTTCAGCAGCTCAGTTTTGCCCCAAAGTGGCAAAATAATGCTCCTTTTGAGAGAAAGAGATTTTGTCCCCCCTGCTGTCCCTAGTTCCATATATCTACTTTACTCAGCACTTAAAGTAATAGCAGCAGAGAGTATATTGCCCAAAATCATCAGTTGTACCTACTCTTGATTTCAGATTTTGTAGAACTCTTTTGTTTTATCCTCCTAGAAAGGTCTAGAAAATGGTTGTGGGGAGATCAACTGAAAGAAGAGAAGGAGAAAGAAGTAATGGATGGGAAGGCAAGTTGGAGCAATGTTGGATGAGGAAGTTAACTATGAAGTGATCTGGAGGCCCCATTCAGACTACAGACCACTAGTTCACTTGGATTGCTGTTTCTCAACCTCAGCAACTTTGAGATGTGTGGACTTCAGCTCCCAGCTGGCTGGGGAATTCTGGGAGTTGAAGTCCACATATCGTAAGGTTGCTGTGGTTGAGAAACATTGACTTGGATGATGATGCGGTCCTATCTATTGATCAAGGCCACTGATGGGTCACATCATAAATGACCACAGCACCTTTCTTCCTGAAAGACCTTTCTAGTGGAATCCACTCTACCTTGAGGGTGTCTTAAGGAACAGTGGCTGGCATATATTTCTTAAATTTGCCCCTTTTTCCTTGCCTTTTTTTTTTTTTTAACATGCCTTTCACAGTGCTGGGATGCTGCATGCCACCTGGCCTCCCTCCCCAGCGCCGGTTCTTTGCAGGACTAACAGTTAATTCCGTATCTTTGCTCAGAGGTAAAGGTGGACGTGTAGAAATGGGAACCAAGGGCGGGCCTTCCTAGCAAGATAGCAGGGCATGGCAGAAGGCGAGGAAGGTAGCGACGCCCAAGTCCCACCCGTCCGCCTCTGGGTACGACGGATGGGCGTCTATTGCGATGAGAACCAGGCAACATGGCTGGTGGCACCAGAAGAGGTAAGCGAGAACGCTCCCGGGACTTCCCCCCTCCGCCCAGGCTGATGAGACTGATTTTGGCCTGAGCCTGTCATCCCCCTGTTTTGTGCTTCTCCCTCCTCTAGGAAGGAGGGACGCTGAAAGCCCGGATCAGAAGAATCCCTGTCCCCCTGGGTGAAGCAGTGCGCCCCAGCCGCCTTCCTGCTTCTCAGCTGCCCCACATGTGGCAGCTTTCAGAGGGGCAGCAATACCGGGACAGTAACTCCCGCATCTGGGGCATTGAACACCACCTAATGGTAGGTTGCATCCACCGAACGAAACCTTGCTCGGTAGAGCATTTGTGGAAATCTGGCCCTGATGATCCACCATGTGCTGGGATGCAATAAACGCTTCTTTGGGTCCTTGCAGATCATGGGAGTGGAAGAGCTGCTGTTGAAACTCCTGATAAGCAATTAGATCTGGTGAGATTCTTTCTCCTCTCGTTCCTCCCCCCCCCCCACCTTCCTTGCGTTCATATTTTTATTTTTCGCTTTATTTTACTCATGGTGGTTCTTTCATGCTGGTTTTTGTCTTTCAGGAGCTGCAACTCTAGGATGGTGTCCTGTTTGTTTTTTATGTGTTAACTCCTAGCACTAAAAATGCCGCTGCCCCTGAGGCAGAGCATGGCGAGCAACTCTCTTAACAGCCCACAACAGCATCACCCAAGAGCTTAGGACAGGCAGTCAAGAAGAGTACCATGGCCAGTTGAAATCAGAGGGGCAGTTTTAGGTAGGCAGACTGGACCTGCCCCTACCCCGCTGGAAAGCTGGTCAGAATACCATGAGTAAGAGTCGAGTAACAAGCAATGGCCCTAGCCCTCCTGCTCGTGGAGCTTCCGGAAGCATGGGGGCGTGGGGGAGGCCAAGACAGAAGGCCTGGGCCTGAGCCAGTCAGGCAGGTCATACCTTCTTCCTGAACAAACTGCCTTGAAAAATACTGTGCTCTTTTAACAACCAAGGATGTTGTGTGTTTGGTTTTCCATCTTACTAATTTCTGGCAGCATCACCAGGGGTTACGTTGTTTCCTACATGTTTTTACAAGGCCAGTGACTCAGAGGGGAGAATCTAGTCTTCAGAAAACAGTATGTTAGGG